AGTTATTTTTAAAAAAATTTAAAGTTCTTTTCCAATTGAAATAAGTTAAAATGTCTAATAATAACACTATATAGTGCAGCATTTTTATTTTATTCAAAAGAAAAAAAGTGCAGCATTTCCATCAATTTGGAGAAAAGCCTTCTCCCTCTTTATTTTTTTTAATACGAGAGAAGCATCAAGTTTGGATACAAAACATCTCCTAAGGTAGGGATTGTCAGATACCGTGGCTGGAAGTGAATTAAAAGAATTAGCGGTGTCGGAATGTCAAGAACGGCGACCGAGAATCAGATTTCAGAGGGCAAAGGAAGCAGCAAGGGAAGAAATAGAAGAAGGAAATTCCATAGGAAACTGAGAAAGGTGATCAATCGATTTGAGGCAAAGAAACATATCATTCATTCGATAATTTTCCCAGAAATGACTAGGCTTAATATAGCCAAAATGCACAAAATAATGAAAATGCAAAACAAGACTAGCTTTTACTAAAATGACAAAACAACCCCGGGTCATGACAGGATAATGGATTACTATCTACTGCTACCTATGCGGTTAAGTTTGACGGGGTGTCGGCAAAATCTATAACCTTGTTTGACACGAAAATCCTCCTTAAGCTAATGAATTCGCCGTTTCTTGTTGTTCTAGGAAAGAGGCTAAAAGCCTTCTCTAAACAAGGCTATTTAGTTTGTACTCCCTCCGTACCATAATTATTGTCCAGTTTGGATTTTCATTTTTAGTTCAAATTATATTAAAAATAAAATCTTAAATTGGACAATAATTTTGAGACAGAGGGAGTACTATTTAAGGCTCAACGCCCCAACCCATTTTAATATTGATTTTGGGCAGACTCCTAAGAGGCTTTTTGGGTCATGATACAACAGGCTGAAAATTGAGTCTGCGATTTGTGAACGCACCTAAGGGCGCTGGATTAAAAAACTTCAAAAAGAACAATAATATTTTTTCTTCCTAAAATTAAAACAAAATTTAAAACTTGTGAATTATTTATTTGATACTAAGTTTCAAGATTCTTGAGTCTCAAAGTAGTACAAATCTCAAAATTTCTTTTATGTATGATTTGCAGCCTTCCTGCTGGAAATACGTAGTCGTGAATCAGCGGCACTTCCTTCCTACTCCCTCCCCGTTTCTGGAAATGTCCATCCTACATTGCACTACTTGTAGATAATTTGTATCAGAAACAAAACGAAGCATCGAACATCAAAGGTAACGTCTAACTATTATTTTCTCCTGATTGAGATGGTAAAATTGAATTGGATGCCGAAGTCTGCTAATGCAGCTGGAAAATTAATAGATTTCATCAAAAAAAAAAACGTATTGTTTTTCGTACAATTTAGAAAAACACAAGATAAACTATGGCTCCATTTGGACAAGAGTTTTAAAAAGACTTTTAAGGCTAAAAAGTCTGTTTAGAACTTAAAATGAGTTTGGATAAAATAATTAAAGTCTTTTCTAAACATCAATTTAAAAAAAAGAAGGCTTGAAACAGGCTTTTTAGAAAATAAGTAGGGGGTATTTTTCAATTTTTTGAAACAAGACTTTTTTCACCGTTCACGGGTCGAAATTCGGGTCGAAGACGGGTTATGAAAAAATCGCGTCATCAATATAACAGGAATACAAAGCCCCTTCTCACTCTCTTCATACTCTAGACCGCCCCCCCTTTCTCACTCTCTCTCCTTCGGCACCCCCAATGCCGGTGAGGCGGCGATGGCGACGGCGACGGCGACGGCAACGGCAAAACTCCCCGTGACGGCGACGGCGAAGCAAGAAGCGCCACCTTGTTTTGGTAAAACCCACGAAATAATCTTTCTTATTCCCGTCTTTTTTTTCTTTTTGATTGGATTAGGGTTAGTTTCTCATCACTTCTAATGCTTAAATTATCACTCAAATCCTTCTTATTTCAGCATGGATCTGTGAGAATTTTTCGTGGGTTTTACGTATTGAGTCATATTTGAACTGGGGTTTTTTTTTGTGTGTCGAAATCATTACGGCTGAGCACGAGTTAGTGATTTTGGTTAAATTCTCGTGTCTTTGTTGATTTGGTTTCCTTTCTGGATATTCCTCTCTGGTTAAAAAGTATACTTTCTGAATTCTTTTTTCCATTAGTTTTTGTCTGCTTTCTGCAATCAATCAGCCTTTCGTAAAGCATTATAGCGAATAAAATTTCAAGTCTAAATTCGGGTGAGAATGACTGCTTGTTGCGCTTCTTTTCTTGTTTGACTTGAGCAAGGAAAAAAGAAAAAAAAAACCATAGAAGAACGAAGCCCCTTCCAAGTAAGTAGTAGTAGAGTGAAAAATTAACAAAGTCCAAGTCTGGTATAACAGCCATTTTGGTGGGTTTTATAGTCTTTCCTGTTTCATCAGATCTTATCCTGCATTTTTCATGTTTGTAAAAAGGGGCCGCATTTTGCCCTCCTCTTGTTGTTTTTTGTTGTTTGCGTGTTTCAATGTGGGATTAGCTTAATGTTGATTAGAAGCTGAAATTCGGACTAAAAAAACTGCATTTTGTGATAGATCTAAGAAGGGCTATTTTTATTGGTATGTAAGCTAATTTAATCAGTGTAACCGCTGTTCTATGTAATGGTAAAGTGAAAAATACGTGCTCTTTCTGCGTTTTGGAACTTTTATCTTTTTTTCAGTCTTTGTTTCCGTACCCTTTTGCTGCTTTGAGGGTTTAATTGGGAATGATTTGTTAAATTTTTGTTTCTTTTGAGGGTGCTTCTGTTTGAATTATTGTAGTGTGTCTTTCTGCTGTTCCAAGTTTTTGAGTAGTGGAACATCCTTTTCTGATGCTGTGGTTTTCCAGGAATTTCAACTGAAAATTGGAATACATTTTGAAGTTACGTGATATGATAAATGGTGTAATATTTTGTATGAGATTGATCAATAGCCTAGGAGAGTTAAAGGGCATGCTAAAAATTTGCATGTTTCTCATATAACTTCGTATGAGTGTGCCTTTCTGCTGTTCAAAGTTTTTGAGTGGTGGAACATCCTTTTTCGATGCTGTTGTTTTCTAGGAAATTAACTCAAAATTGGACAATATTTTGAAGTTATATGATATGATAAATGGTGTAATACTTCGTATGAGATTGATCAATGTTCTGCAGCAAAATCTTCTCGTGTGAGTGTGTCTCTTTCGTGAGTGGGATTAAGAATACACGTCAGTTTTGAGACTGTAACAAATAGGTACTACTAGGTTACAGAATCACTAATATAGGAAGGAGGATTTGAGGGAGTATTCCCTTCTAATCTACATGAATTAATTTGTAGATGGAATTTAGAATTATCATCCACTCAGTCTTAGCTCCCTTGATCAATTAGTAGTCGCTGTACTTTACTCTGTTTATTTTATGATCAGTTCTTTATATTCAGTAAAAGAACGCATGCATGTACGTATCGCTCAGGCAGCTGTACATTTGTAAGTATCGCTCAAGCATTAACTTGTTGCTCTTGATGTTTGGCGTTTTCTGATGGTTCCAGCATCTATTGCTCTGTTACTATCATGTCTGGTGATCTTGATTTATAGTTGTAACATTCTAGATTTAGTAATTAGTATATTAAATTAGTAATTGGCTAGTTCTAAGTGATTCTATGCATGATTTTTCTGTTCCTTTTTTATTTTTTTTTTTTGGACAACTCTTAAGGCCTCTGAGTGCTTTCTTCCTATCAAATCCTCAACAGAATTTTACCACTTTTTCCTGATTTGATATTTCTTGCGTGTAGTGCTTTCTTCCTATCAAATCCTCAACAGAATTTTACCACTTTTTCCTGATTTGATATTTCTTGCGTGTAGTTGAACAACATTTTTTATGATTCACCTATGCAGGTTCAAGTAAGTTCAACTGAATTGTTTCCACAAAGATCTGGGGAGCCAGATTATCAGGTTCAAGTAAGTTCAACTGTAAATTTGTTAATTAGTATTTTTCTCCTTTCCATTCCTGTGGTTGCTTTTGTAGGAATCTGTTTAAGTGCTTATTGCACCTCTGATCTCTTGCGTCTTGTTTTGTGTCACAATGCTGTTAAAGTGGCGTTTGTATGAGGATGTGTTCCCCTTACCTTGAATTGCAAAAATGCTACTTAAATTTATGTTTTTCAAACTTCCATGTTCCACCACTCCACCCATTCTAACTGCTGCTGCATATTAAGTACTATATGGCTAGCAATTTTCTTATTTTTGTAGAGAGGCGGTCTTCTTTCCTTTCAGTTTCAGCTGGTTAAATATTCCTATGTAGTTATGGACGTTTTCCATGCTGTAAAGTTGTAGGATGAAATTCTAAGCATAGGTACTACGTATTGGATGTCTGCTTTGCTCAATATGCCACCTTTCTTCTTTGTTGGCTTCCTTGGTACTTGGTAGCTTGTGACTACCATCTATTACTCCCTTAGCTTTCTGTGCTTGATATCCTCAATGAAGCAGCTCAATTAGGCAAACTTCCTTCTTCCTTTACCTTCCAATGCATTTTCTGGTTGGTGCAATATTCGATGAATGGTGGAAATATTCCGCTGCTTGTCACATATGTTGCTTCGGCATTCTTGATTTCGCTTCATGGTCATTCTTTTTTTGAACAAGGTTCCATTTTTTTCTATTATTCAAGCAATATTGTGAAACATTTGGGTATTGTAATGCATATGGTGCAATGGCATGACATCACTCAAGATCATAGCTCTTTTTTCTGTTTTCTCATCAGGGGCCGTATTTGATGTGAGTGATTGTAAATTGTGTGTTTCTGATTCATTATAGTTGTTCATCAGTTACGCTATCTTTGACTGCTTGTGCTGTTGTGTAATATTTTTGTTTTCTTAATGGAAGATTGGGTTCAAAAATATTCGTGCTTCCGCCATTTTTAATTTTAAATCATTTGATAAATTTTTTTCATAAATATGGTTAACATTGAACCAATTTCAGCTATTTGAAAGATAATGTTCTTTAGGTTCGGTGCTACCTGGTATTTTCCCATATACTTAAATCTTATGATTCTTGTGCAATTCAGAGTTGGAAGGCAGGTTGTGAATGTTCCTTCCTTCATGGTCAGAGTGGACTCCCAGAAGCACATCGACTTCTCACTTACAAGTCCCTTCGGTGGTGGTCGTGCTGGAAGAGTGAAGAGAAAGAACCAAAAGGCAGCTGCAAAGAAGGCAGCTGGTGGGGACGGTGATGAAGAGGATGAAGAATAAGCTATTGGCTTTCCTGTTATGTTTAATCAAAATACTGGATAATGTTAGATGGTTTGTTTTGCTGTGGTAATACTGTCTCCTAAATGGTTTGCCGTGCTCTTAAGGAACCTAAAATGTAGGAAGTTTTGGATGCTTTACTCCTGTTTTCTCCCCGTCTTTATCAGGCTCTTTATAAGTAAGTTATTGTTTCTTGTTTCTGCACATTCTTATGCCTTTTATTTGTCTTGATTTGGAAAACTAGGAGAGCAAAGTGATAACTATCCAATGTAGAAAATTCCACCTTGTGTTTTAAACTCATCTTGTGTAAGAAAAGTGAAAAAATAAAAATAAAAATGACAATTTGTGTAAGAATGATTTTCTTTATAAGTTATAAAATTTGTTTAAAAAAAAGAATGATTTTCTTTTTTTAAAAAAAAGTTCACAAATTATTTTGAAGAAAAAGTAATTTTAAAAAAGACCTAGTCCAAATGACTTTTTAATATTTTTAATTACTAAAAAGGTTTTGAAAAATTCTTGTCCAAATGCATTATTTTTCAAAAAGTACTTTTTTAAGTTTTAGTTTAAACAAACTTTTCTAAACAAATTTTTAAAACACTTGTCCAAATGTGGGACAGGGGAAGTAATATGGAAATGTGAAATTATTGATTTACGTTTCCTTCCAACCAGTGTAAAACATTTGAGAGTATCATTGCCATGTGGAGGATAGTGTTGTATGTAAACGTTACATTTCCCCGATGAGCAAGCGCTATGAAGTCGATACGGAAATTAACTGTGATGATAATGTAGTGAGATTTAAATACTATAATTAAGGAATTCTATTTTATCGGATTTTTAAAAATATTTTTGGTAATCTGCAATTATATTGAGGATAGGAAGATATCTTCTATAGATAGATATAGGGATGGAACTTCTCTTACGTTGATGATCATATTTAGGGTTTAGCGACTTTTCTCTTTTGATTTTTGCATTTTGATCATGGCCACTGGCAGCAACCCGCCTCCCAAAACGGCTACACCCCCACAGCGTAAGTGAGCTTTTTCTTTTCTTCATTAGATTCAATTTACCGACAATATCTTGTCCTAAATTTAATGAATCTTTTCAGGATAACTAGCAGATTGACTAACAGTGTTATCATACTGCTTAGAGACAATATCTCGTTCCAATATTTTGTGAATCTGTCATACTACCTATGTGGACTAATATTGTTTGGGACAGAATAAAGATTGAGTATTATTGAAGAAAGTTTTTGTTCTGAACAATTCATGGAGTAATTTAACAAATTTCATCTCCTGCAAATGCATAAATCAGAATAAACCAAGTTAGAAATTTGAAATTGTTGCAGCCTCCGACACTATATCACAGGTTCTTTTCCAGCCAATCCAGAAAAAAATTGAGTCTTTGTTAGATAATCAGCTTTGGAAAGCCTGTGATCTGGCTTCGAGCCTCTTCCTACAGTTCTGGACGCCTGTGGAAACCATCAATGGCCGAATTCTCCTTAATGCGAAAGAAGGCCCCTTTCGTCTTGATCAGTTCCGTAATTTCTCTTCATATAGGAACGCCTGCGTTCATCATGAATACTGGGTGCACGGTTTTGATGATACTTAACTTGGCCCTCTTGGAAGGGCATTTGTAAAGATATCCCCTGGATTTTGTCCCAGCATTGGGTGTTATTCCAAACAGGAATTCCCTTTAAGGGATCTTGTTGCCAAACACATGAATGGGCAGCACTGGCCTTTGCCAATTTGTGAACTCTATGGTCAACAGCCGCAGCCTTGTCTTGGAGTACTGGAATGTGCATCATCAGTCTCAAGGTCATCTCTTTTAAAGGCTCTCGATAGGATTCTGAGTGCACTTAAGGTATGATTTGTTGGCTTTGTGCTCGATTTCAATAATAGGCCAAGTTTTCAAAGTCATCATGAATTCCTCCTGATGATTGGTTTATCTTTGTTTTTCTAGGCTTTAGGTCTTACAGTTCCAGTTTTACATCCCCAGAAATGCTACATTGTAAGTAGTTATCGACACCCTAGATTAAGTTTTCTTGTGTTAATTGATAACCAAAAAGTCAAAAGTTTCCTGTTGATTTTTTATGTTCATTAAGATATGTGATTGATTGCGATCTAGGGTCGGGAAAGCTTGTTAGCTTCACAAATGCGCATTGATGATGTGGTGAAGTTCCTGGGAAGAAACACGGATTACCTCTTATTCAGGTTTGGGTTCCATGTATGTGTGATGCTCCTTCAGAGGCTGTTGTAAAGGGTGATAAACCCACTGCTAAATTGTTCCTTCAATCCGCATTTATGGACTGGAATATGCCGTATGCTGCAGCGCTTCATGAAATGATATCAGACCCAACCTGTTCTGTGAAAATGATGAAAGGTTTAGTAGGAACAGTTGGTTGGCTAAGGATGCCGTGCTTCTTGAGAGATATCAGTAAACCTAGAATCTCTGATTATCCTCTTGTTCATCTGACTCGATGATGCCATCTTGCTGCATGTTTTGCAGTTCCTTTACAGTTGTTTCATTCTGAGCTTCCACCTATGGTAGTAGAAATCTTTCTTCCACCTGAACTAAATTGTGATGGAGATTCAAAGGGTCTATTAAAGTCATTATTGTCCACAATGGCTGAAGAACTCTCCGTACATAATGCTGATTTTGGATTAAGACAAAATGAGGAATTCAGTGTCGAAAGTTCTCGCTCGGATGCTGATAGCTTTCTTTACTCTGTGCATAGAAGAGCAATGGCTGGAAACAAAAACTCCAGTCCTAATGGTTGTCCTCCCAATATACAAGTCAAAGCCGAGAATCCTGAAAATCCTTTGTCAGCCACAAGCAGAACAACAACCGGTTTGGACCATGTGACTGGAGGTAAGAGTTTCCAAATGTTTGGAGATTTTAGTGTTGAATCTGATTTTCTCACGTTAAAAAAAGGACTATCACTCTGTTCTAAACTGTAATGCTGTTACATTTACATTTAACATTTTCTTTGCAGTTGTCGGGTTGCCTCTGAAACGTAAATGTGAAGAAGAAACGTGGCCTCTGCTCAAGAGAAACCAAGTCGATCACATGCCATCAAATCCAAGTCTATCAAGTGCATGCGTCAAGAATGATGGTTCGGCCGCAAAATCTGCGCCCGGGAAGTGCAAAGGGTAAAAGGGTTATTGCAACGGAAAGTGAGGAGATCGATCGTGGTCACACCCTGACTGTCAAGCTAAGAGGAATGGGACAGCAAGTTGTAAAGTTTAGCTGGTGCAGTAACTCGGGGTTTAAAGGATTATGCAGAGAAATAGAAGAAAGGACTGGCCTGAAATACGGGGAATTCAAAATAAACTACCTAGATGAGGAAGGTGATATGATTGTCATGTCATCAGATGAAGATCTGCAACTTGACATGGAATGGTTTAGAAAGGGACCTGTAATAAAATTGTTACTCGTCCCATCAAATTAATAGTTAATTATCTTGCAATTTGAGTTCGTTTTCTGGTTCCAGACAAAGTGTAGTTGGATAATGTATCGCGGAACATCGTCTAAGTGATTAAGTTCCAATTCAGAAGCTGTATTCATTGTCCCTAAGTAATACAAATTTCATCTTGTTTTCACGGGGAAAAATGCAAGTGAATCTGCATTATTAGTCCCTTTTGGTTCTCTGGCTGGAGCAAGTGTAGTAAAGTTATTTCCAGTCGTCTTCAATTTTTGCAGATAAGAAAACACAAGGAAAAAGCTGTATAAGATGGAACCATCTGACTTTCCAGAAACCAAGTTATCAAAGATTTGCAATACTACTAAGATGCTTTGTCCCTTCTTTTGGGCCATGATAGAACAAGACACTGAAAATTAAGCCTGCAACATCCATAAAAAATTAAAAATGCAGTACCTAAACCCCCCCCCCCCACCCAAAAAAAAGCACAGTAAAATATCCATAGGCAAACTGCCAACAGCAAAACAGAGAGAACATAGTTCAATAAAGCATTATCCTCAATCCCCCTTCTTAAAGTTTCTAAAGTTAAAATGGCGGATAGAAAAGGAAATTCATCTCCAGATTTATGCTAAGCTGAACCCCAAAAGATAGGAATTTAGACTTTGGAGGATCAAACATGCTGAGGTTGGGAACCACCATTGGGCTTCTCCACAATGCCGAGTTCAACTTGGGCCCTTCTCTCAGCAAGGATGCGCTTTGTTGATCTGTAGTAGATTGCGTACAGCAGCAACTGCACCAATCCAAGAACGGCTCCAGCTGAATTGGGTGCCTGAAAAATTTCAGAAATATTGTTAAAACAAAGAGATCAAACTAATACCAGAAAAAAAAAAAAAAGGCTGAAAATTGAAAGTTCTAGTATTATGCAAAGGAAAATTTAAGACTCACAAAAATGAAGACGTCGAATTTGAACAGAGCATAAGCTGTCCAGCTGACTCCATTAGCGAAAGAGGCCAGTGAAAGGAAGAATGGCATATACTCCACACTCTTTGTTTTGATCACCATTTTCTGCATTCCCCAAAAAGATTGAAGGAGAAAAAAGAAAAGTCAAATCAGTTTCAAAATTTCCATTTTTATTACTAACTTTTTTCCATATTTCTTCATATCATCATCTGTTTCAGCCCAACATCTGCCTTACTTTTCTTTCACTTGTGTTTGTTTTCCCTTTTCAAGTAAAATTTTGACTCAATAATTAAGTATCTAGCTGGCTTTATCTATTCTTCCTTTTTCCTTTTTCAGGCAGTGAAAGAAAAAAAAATTCCCAAAGATAATTACAAAGACCTGGTTAACTAACGATGATAAATCATGAAATCAGAATCGACATCATATTATAAGAAACCAATAAATCAGACCAATATTCATATTTACCACTCATGATGATCTAATCATTTCCATAAATTCAATTCTGACCCAATTGAATAAAAGACATATTAAATAAAAGGAGAAATGAGAGTCAGAAAGAATTACCATGACGGAGAGGGGAGCAGCATACATCATGATGTTCCCGGCCATGCAAATGGAACCGACAATGTTGGACCGGGTTTTGGTGGTGTGAGCCAAGGTGAGAACCCCAAGAGCAAGCGCCGCCACGAAGACGAGTTCCACCGCCACGATTACGGCCAGCCTGATCCTCCTCTGTTTGCTGTTGCAGTAAGTGAGGAAGATGGCGAGGTAGACCACCTCCATGGCGAACCCGGTCCCGTTGATTGTGATCACCAGGAGGCTGTTCGGGTGGACCACCGGAAGTCCGTACAGGACCCAGAGGGCGCAGTTGATGAAGGTTGCCAGGTACGGCACCGGCGAGTACTGCTGGACGGATTTCTTCTTGCAAATCTGGATGAATGTTGGCCTGAAGTTTTGTAAGATGGGAATTAATCATCAGAAAGTGTAAAATTGAGAGAAATCGAAATTCAGGGGAATGGAGAGGGACTGAACTTACACTGGAGATAGGAAGAGGAAGAAGGCAATGGCGTTCCCTGAGGAGTTTGCAAATAACAGAGAAATCAGAGAGGGTAAAAAAAAAAAGAAAATGAAAATCTGAATTCGATTGTGAGTTCGTAGAGATCAAACATATACAGAACAGCGAAGGAAGGGCTAAAAAATTAATGAAATTAAGCACTGAAATTAAGTCACCGAAAAGAAGAATCAATGAGGGAGAGTCATTCCATGGGGAATTAACGAGTATGCATATCATGCATGTTCAGAAAGGGATCAGAGAAGAACAAGGAAAAATCCTGAAAATTTTATGAAAATGATGGGGGGAAAAAACAGAGTGTTCTCCGGCCTTGTTGTCAACGAAATTTTCCCAGAAAAAGAAAAGGCTGCTTTAAAAATTAAAATCGAAATGAGGAAAACCAATCAGTGTTCGTCTGGGCAAAAGCTATCAGGCTTCTTTAATTTCTCATCAAAACATCACCAGAAATCAAAATTCAAATCGAGTACAGAATGCAGAAAAACAGTCATTCTTTATCCCTCTTTGCCGGGCTAGCCAGTGCATACATTCAAGTTTTCATCAACGATTCCCAAAGAGCTAAAACAGAATAAAAATCAAGCCGAACAAAGAACAGAGAGAAGAGGTTTAAAAGGAGGAACTCACCGATGATTCCAACCACAGTGCGAGCGGTATCACTGGAAACCATGGTGACAATTGGATCGCTGCTGTGAGTGAAAATTTTTTTTTTAAAAAAAAAAGCAAAAGAATGTGAGCTGAGCTTTTTATGTATCTCTCTCCCTTCTCTCTCTGTAGGTGAAGAAGAAGAAGAAGGAGTAGGAATAGTTAGATGAGCTTAGAGAAAATGAAGGCAGCCGTAGTGGATATATATAGGAAGATGAGGGAAACGGCGAAATGGATTTTGGCAATTCCGATTCTGCTTGTTTTTGGTAACAAATTTATTCGGTGTGTGTGACTGTGCGTGTGTGTGGCAGGTTAGTTACGTGGTCAGGGGGAAAAGAAAAAAAAATGAAAAATGATTCAGTAATTATAACCATGTATAATTATACTTCTGATAATAATACTACTAAAGTTCTGTATACAGTATTTTATATTCCCTCCGTCCCAAAAAAATAGTCCACATTGAGTTTTGAATTTTGTACCGTTTTTAGTACAAATTTGCAAACTCAATGTCGACTATTTTTTTGGGACGGAGGTAATAGTATTTTGTTTTTTAAAAAATAAAAGGTGATAAATGAGAAGTAGTAGAAGAATTTATGAGTAAAAACCACAATGGGAGCTATAGGGAGTACAAATGGCACTGGCTTCAAGGTAACTCATTCAACATATACGCCAGCCATTTTGCATTACCGGTTTGCAGGGATTGTAATTATTTTATTTTCCCCCTCCAATGATTTGGAGACATTTAATGACATCAATTTCTAGCAGAAGTTTGGGTTGGATGGTGATTTTCATGTTGTTTCACGAAAATACAATCATAATTAATCCTGTGATTTTAAACACGTCATTTTTTTTCCGAGTTACATAATCGATAGCGTTTCAAATAGAACCTATTTCAAAATGTGATGAATGTTGATATTAAAGTAACGTTACATGTGTTAGGGGGGAAAATACATTTATAGGATAAATATAAAATTGGATAATGGTAATTGGCAAGGGGTGGGGTTGGTTTTTTTTGCATGCACAAACGGCGGCAACATGGCATAACAGTGCCGTTTTGTTATACACATTTCAGTGTAGCGAGTGTGTGACTGTGTGTTGGACAGATATTTTTATATTTCTGGGGAGGTGGGATATTGGATATACTACTGACTAACTAACTTAAATAGATATGGCTTACATAAATGAGCCGTTTCATTTTGACACCTTCCATTTTACACTTAGATTATTATAGTATTACATCCCTAAATTTTACTATTACTTCCGTCTCACAAAAATAATCCACATTGAATTTTGAATTTTATACTGTTTTTAGTACAAATTTGAAAACTAAATGTCGACTATTTTTTTTTAGGACGGAGATAGTATTATATTTATTCGTCGTTTTTAATTTTTGTGAGCAAAAATTAAGCCGAGACGAATAAATAATAGTTGATAGACTCTACTGTGTTGGAATAATATTTTATAAGTGAAATTTTCAAATTTTATTTAAGTGGGGAATGAAATGGAAACAAAGGCATGTGCATTTAGAATGATATTCTTCCACTCCTTGAGTCTAATTAACATATTGATATTCTCCCACTGCTTGAGTCTAATAAACAGATTGCACTAGCTTGGTAAAACGTTAGGGTCTAATGCAACATACTGATTTTATAAACTTGGTAAAAAAAAATCCTTGGTGAAAAAGCAAATATTACTAAATAACATTAGTGAGCGCTTGATTACTATACGATGTGTGAGTTCTAAAGTACTAGTGCTTTTGTTTAGAGCACTTGGTTTTCCTATAATCCGATTATTTTCATCTCTTGATAATTTAATTGGTAATGTCGATAATTTTCATGTTGCAATTTATATATATATATATATATATATATATATATATATTTGTGTCTACTTTGTGACTTGCAAGCAAGGAACGGGTTCGACAGATTTCACGTTTCAGTAATAAAAAAAAAAAAAAAAAAAAGTGAAATTGTGTTGCGTTGGAGTGTTTCTTTTCAACTAATTAGAAACAAAAAAAATAATAACCTAAAATCTTCGCGTTGAGGTGGCTTCTTTTTAGACGAATTTAGGCAAAATTAGTATCTTACATTTACATGCAAAAAGATGTACCAAATAACAAGTGGGACTGAGTAGCTACTTAATGTATAATTTAGTAAACCTTCCTTTGAATTTTCATAAACACCTTAGTTTTGGCTTTAGGATATTTTTCTAACGTCGAAGTTTACATATTTCTAGCCTTGACTTTTCCATTTTGTTTTCATAATTTTGTTCTAACTTTTAATTTGTGTGCGTGTAAATTAAGTACTGCTATATTAACATGGCGCCGACGATAATTTTCTAGATATTTTATGTTTAGTAATTGAAATTACATCGGATGTTCTAATTAATTTGGTTCTTTAATTCTGAGGGTTTAGTCCTTGAAATCAAATTTTTCTTCGGGGAACACACAGTATTAGTGCTGTGTTTTGAAGATCGATGAAATGATCGATCGGGTTGGTCACTGGATTATCATGAATGACACATGGGAGAATTTAGGTAAATACTCCTCAATTAACAGTTATTCTGTTACGTTTTATTTTTCTCCATCCTATTTTGACGGTCACGTTTTTAAACAGTTTCAGTTTAATAACTATGATTATTGTTTCATAGCTGAACATTTATATATTACTAGTATGATATTCCATATATTCCAAAATTATTATTAAACTAAACATTAATTTAGGGATGGAGTGAATATTATATATAGCCAACGTATGGATTAGAATAAGCATAAATGGTTGATATTAGTTCAAATTTTGTTTATAACTATTAACCATTTATATATAGATGAGGAGATAAAAAGTTGGTAAAACTTTCACTACAATTTTGCATTAAAATGTCAATGTGAACTCTGAAATATCATGAAGTTAGTTTCGTGGTTATATCCTAGCTAGCTAGTTAGCCTTGGGATGGACCTAGCTATTGTATTGTAGTACTCCCTCTGTCCTATAATTATTGTCTAGTTTGGATTTTTATTTTTAGTTCAAATTATACTAAAAGTGAAATGTCAAAGTGGACAATAAGTTTAGGACAGAAGGAGTACTATATAAGTAGTAAAGAGTAGACAGAGGGTATTTTACTTATGTTTTTCTATATCAAGGTCCAACTAATTACTGTGGTTTATTTTCATATATTATGTAGTAAAAAAATAATTTGAACGGGCAATGCTTGTTTCCACTTGAATCAGAAAACTTCCAAAACCTGTTTTGTTAGCTTTACATTAACATCTAAGTACCGCGTTCTTCAAATGATTTAATTTGCCCATGCCCCTATATAGTTCTATGTACTATCTTTGTCTGAGTAAAAAAGGTTTATATATAATATTATATTAGTAATAGTTTTGAAATATTTTCTGGTTTGAAAGAACTGGATGATACTATGCATTTTATTATTAATCTACGTTAGCCTCTATCCAATGAAAATTCTTATTTTAGGATGATGGCAGTATGTTTTAAACGAATATTTCCGTACAATTATTTCGGAATGACATTTTGCTCTTTGTTTATCGAGTGAAGAGGGAAAATTAGTCGTTAATATATTCATACAAATGTCTTCTAATACTCTCCCATCTCAAAAAAAAAAAAAAATAGGAGAATTTTTTGAACAGAAGGAGTAGAATTTATTTATGAACTCAGTAATAACTAATCAACGTATTTAGGAGAATTTTCATTTGTAATTGTAGATATTTTGTTCCCCTTGGTTCACATGTCCATGAATTCAGATAATCCACAGCAACATCTGAACTATAAAATTCTAAAACACGGGGTGTCTTCCGCTTAAAGGATATCAAATTAGTTAGGTATAAAGAATCAAGTTTAATTCGAGAAATAATAATTTGTGACGCCATATGAAGATATTGTATTTAGGATATAATGTCACAAAATGAAATTCTTCATCTTCGATTTTTCGTGTGTAACCAAGGAAAATATCCGACGTGAAAATTAATTTCTAAAATTCTAATCTGCAAACACAACACTTAATTTGCATGCCTTTTTTAATTCTTCAAACCATTCATAAACATCAACGTTCCATCAAACTTGGTTCTTTTGGGTGTTGTTTTTTCTTTTTGGGTTGGAGGACATATTCCTTTCGTTGGAGAACCGATCCTAGGACGATGGATGATTAATGATGAATATATGTCCAAATTCTGAAATGAAAAAGACCATCACCATAGCTGTTTCTAATACTATACTAAGTTAATTTTGGCCTACCAAACTCGAACATTAATAAAGTTGAGGAATTACAAATGTATGGATATATAACATTCCATTGGAGATGGCCAACAGAAAACCTTTTTGCACGTTTGCCACTGCAGGCCGATTTTCGAGCTGAAGTAAAATATCAGTCGAACGTGAAAATATTTCGAATCTTTCGTGGTTATTTTGGAAATGTTTCATACTTTCACTGGATTTTCTTTGATTTAATCTTTCCATCCCGGAAAAAAAAATGTCGGTTGAATCAGAAGAAAGGAGAATTAAACTTGTGTATGGGGAATCAAATTCATTTGATACAAAAAAAAAAAAAAAAAAAGATTAGTTAGTGATGATAGTATAATATTAACAAGTTTTGTGAGTTGTGATGAAAAAGAAAAGAACCATGCATCACTACTAGTGTTAGCAAATTAAAGATGATTAAATAGGAAGTGATATAATATTACCACCAATAAGTTCTGATTTAAAAGACCATCTCTACTAGTGTTTTAGGCTTTACCCAAGTAAACATCATTTATGTTCAAGAACATATTCTTCTAGAATATGTAGTAGTACTAATTACTAGTTAGTAAATAAAATTAATTAAGACACTTTTGTAATAATAGTTTCCACTTTCCTCATACACAACAATTTAGGAATGATTTGACTGAAGATATGATGGATTGATTGGAATTCATAACACATAAATAGAAATGTGACCCCTTTTTTTCAACTTGGTAAAGAAGAACCTCTTTTTGTGTGTGTTGTGGGATCAATTGTTTTCCATGTTTTCAATAAAAGATTGAACACAATTCATAAACGCAATCTTCTTGAACTTAAACACAAAATTGGCTGCTTAGTGGAGTGTTGTTTAGTTTCCAACTAAATACTCAATGACAAGGGGTCAAAAATAAGATTATTTTTACCACAAAAAAATTGAGCTAAAAAAATTTCAGCTAACGAACACTCTACTAAGAGAAAATCCGACCAAATCCGGCTGGCCGGGGTTGATCGATTCCCTCTAACCGTCACTGTAAATACTCGTTCTAATCTAAAATGATTATTATAAAATAAGATAATCATTTTAAAATTAAGCGAGAGTGTAATTACATATATGTTAAAGAACCGATTCACTGAATCAGTTCTTCATCATAGTCATCAAATCAAGGGTTAAATGCGATGAAAAGAGGAAACATCTTATCACGAATTTCCATCTAAATTCAACTGGAAAATTTTCCGCAACTTTTCCAAAGCACTTTCGGCAATTCCACTTTGCCAAATTTCACAAGAAGGGAAAGAAACAAATTTGTTAAACATGATTCCAGATTCCTACCTTATGTTCTCTTGATAATAAGATCAAACAGTAGAGTCCCTGTCTGTAGTTTTGTTCTGGTAATCATGCAATCAATTGAGATATTTAGTCTCTTAATCTAACAGTAAGTTGACCCCCTTTTTTTTTATCATTTCCTTTTGGGATGCATTTTGCCCTTTTGGACCCCTTTAACCATTTTCATTTTCTAGATATTTTTTTCTTATACGAATATATAGAAGTTATAACCACAATTTTGAGTTCAAACATGGGTTTGATATGAGTTTCAGAAATGGAACTGGCAATTTTGGTTGTAGAGTCAGAATCATGACTGCGTGACATTTAATTCGTGTATTGTGTTATTTCCTTTAGGAAGATATAGGTGGAAATATCTTGCAACAGCCTCGGGGCTTGATTTTAGTTCCATCTTTTTTCTCCAGATCACACATCTTATCCATTCAAGCGAATCAACGCTATTAACTTGCTTCGCTATTCGGCATTGTTTTAACAAGATTTTAACTACGTGCACATATACCATTTTTCTGAGTCATGATATCTTCACATCATCATGCAGCTGAACATTTAATGGAAATTTTTCAGGCTATTGATCTTCATAAACTTGCAAAAGTGCAACAGCGCCTAGTCTTTCGCTCAAAATTAAAAGATGAACAGAAGTAGAAGATTCCACAAGAGCAAAGGACGATGAGAATGGAATTTCCAATAAATCTTTTACGATCACAAACAATGGGAAGAATAAACTGACCACAGTAATAATAACCAAATGGAAAACTCAAAAGGCCAACAACAAAAAGACAAAGCCTCACCAGATAATGAAAATGAACTCTATACATTGCTGCTGCATCTATGTTACAATGAAATATGAATGTGTGACATATTAGACTTGAAAAAAAAGAAAAACATTAAAAAAAATCACCATTCCATCAATCAACTTCTAAAGCCAAAGGGGGACCATTTCTTTGTTGTTGCCTCTTTCTTCGTTCGTTTAGAATTAGGGTCAATGAGGTTCTCGAGCGATTTTGCCTTCTTATTTCGCGACCTGCCGGCTTCTTTCAAAAGCTCTGCTAGTCTCTTCTTTTCATCATCAAAGTCGGGGTTTGCAGTTCCCAGCTTCTCTTCTCTCAATTTTAGAACATACTCAAGGATCTCGATCGCATCTTCAACTCTGCAAGTTCAAAACAATCACGCATTAGAAAGCTTATCAAAAGCATTGCCACACAAATTCAACATCAATCTACAAAACAGTGAAAATGAGGTTAATAAAAGCCCTGACTCTTGCAGCAGCCCTGTCTCTAGCTGCAGCCTAGGAACCTTGATACTACCATTTCAATGTACCATGAACATTTCTAATAAGCAATAAATTTTCATTTCTATGCACACTGTTTTAATGCTGATTGCAACTGTTGTTTTCAAACTTTAGAATACTATTTAAGGCCGTTCTATGTTACTCCAATCATTGCCACTACTCTCTTATGTCTTAGGTCTAACCAGGACTTCCGAGGTCTAATTTACTACTCCAGAAGTTTCAAGTAATCGAACTGTTCCCAGATGAGACGTCAAATAGTCTATCATCATTTCATCAGAGTAGACCAAAAAAAAAGGTGGATGATAACCTTAACAGATTTGGAATGTAATTGATAAGCATGCAATTTATGCTACGAATTTGAAGTGTTGCACAACAAGATTACCTTCCCATTGCATCATAAGTTGCAGCAAGATTGCTGTAGACACCAAGTGTATCTTGATGACAAGGGCCACACTCCTGTTCAAGTATCTCCCTGGCTTCTTCAAACAACTCAGCAGCCTCATCAATTCGAAATAACTGTACACAAGCCAATCCCATTTGGTTTAAGACTACACCAAAGAAGGCTGATTTCTTCTCACCACCAGCTCTTAGTTTTACTATGGCACTCTCAAAAGCGCTCCGGGCTGCTTCATACTGCCCAACCATGTAAAACATTACACCCATCCGAGCTTCGATTCCAGCAATTGTACTTTGCTGCCCTGGTTTGTCATCTATTAATTTCATTGCCTTCTGCAAGAGTTTGAGAGCTTCCTCGGGTTCGTTGAATAATTCATAGATGGCAGAAATTTCCGTCATCCCACTGGCAATCTCTTCTGGTGTGGTTCCTGGTACAGGTTTCCCATATATCCGCAGAGCATTTTCACAATAGGACCTCGACTCCCTGAGTTTTCCTGTCTTGTAATATAAATCAGCAAGTCTTACAAAAACAGAGGCTACTAGAGGATGATTGTCACCCTTTGATGACTTAAAGACGGTAAGTGCCTTCTGGTAGGCGAAGACAGCCTCATCAAACCGAGATAGCGACAGGTAGATGTTGCCAATGCTAACATCAATTGCCGCAACCTCATTTTCTTGTCCATTGGCAATCATTGCCATGCTAGCCAGCACAAGATGTTCTAAAGCAGCTTCGTAATCACCTTTAGCCTCACATATGAGAGCCATTAACCGACGGTCAGCAGCCTCTTCCAGAGACGCAGGTGGACTGTGCACACGGTGAATTTCCAAAGTTTTCTTGCACAAATTCTCAGCTTCATCAAACTGCATTGCTTGAACATGCGCCTCCGCTAAATACCTGCAATTATCGAGAAACACTCAGCACCAACTACAATGGCACATTCACCATGAATTTGCTACTCACTGTTTCGAATAAATAAAAAGATACAGAGATTCTTTGATTTATTTCCAATTCCATTCCATATGAGAAGCTTAATCCCGGAAAGCCGATATTCATTTGTTCATGATATTATGGTTTTTTGTTCTCATCAATCGAAATCCAGATTGTCAACTTTCAACAACAAATACGAGCAAACAAGATCTTTTCAAAAGGCTGTGAATCATCCAGTAAAGCCCAAAATCATTTCTGCACCTTTGAAACCAATGCCAAGTAAGGGGGCTTAACTAAATTACCATCAAATATTTATACCTCAAATTTTCCAAGAATGATGAGTTCAGGTTTTGTGCTCCAATAAATGCGTACTAACAATATTATCACTTAACATGACATGCATAAGATTTGATCCTAGTATTTATTAAACTTGGGTTACGTCATTAGTTCAGAATAGCAGCCCCACATCCACTATGAAGCAACATTACCATATTTTATCCAGTTCCAAAGTCCTAAACAAATCAGTCTTAATAGTTAATCTATGCACTTCGATTTAAAGTGTAAGTAATAACACTAAGTTGCTGATAAATTGGAATTCTTTCAGCACGTTGCTCCAATTTTAAAACTTGATCAAGTTTCCTCAAACTTTCCTTATTTACCCATATTTTCCACATTATCGTTTCTCAAACCAGAAAGTACCCTGCAACTAATTGCCACTTCAGACTTAACCAAAAGAAAAAAGACATCTTTATTTTCTAACAGAAATGGCTTAAAATACACATTCATTTACCGGCAAGTCTCCGCGACTCTGGGGTCGGTATCTCCTAAGGCTTCCATTTGAATCTTCAATCCTTCCTTATAACAGTCGATAGACCGATCCAACTGACCGAGCATGGAATGTGTGTCCCCCAGCTGCATATATCCAGAAAAAGCAGCGAGCGCGTGATCTGCACCACGGCTGACCTCAGGAACCTTAATAGCCCTTTCCAGCACCGGAACCGCCTCGTCAAACCTCCCCAAGCTGCAATAAATCGCTGCTACGACGTGCAAGCTCATAGCCAGATCCAAGCTCGGCTCTCCTTCAACCACACACCTCTCAAAAGACTTAGAAGCTCTCAAAGCATAATCCAACGCCTTGCTCGGACCCTCGCCGGAAGCAATAGTATCACGCGCAAGCTTCAGCAGGAACGGTCCAAGATCCGGATTGTCAAGAGAAGTCTCGTCAATGAGTGACTTCTCAGGAGGCGACTTCTTCTTTCCGGAGCTCCGATCCGGCGACGGCTTCGCCCGCGAAGTGGACGGTGACGGTGATGGAGGCCTTCGCTGAGCCGGCGAGTTGGTTTTGACATTGCCGGAGTCGGATCTCTCCCCACCGGGTCGGATCTGGCCGTTGGAATCTTCTGGAACCGCGATTCTCAGTGGCGGAGCTTCCGGTGGAGTCTTTACCGAAACTAACCCCGGCATTTTTTGGCTTAATTACCAGTAATAACTAACTTCTCGAAGTAAATACACAAATTCAATCGGAAACAGCAACAGAAGCAAAGAAGTAAAAGCAACTTAGGTTTATAAAAAGTGTGAGAAGAATGGGATTTAATGAAGTTAATTAAATGAAGGAATTAAGGGTGAATTAATTAATAATGGAGGATAGGGATGGAACAGGCTACCATTTTCATTTCGGGGGAGGTTTTTCTTTCCTTTTTTCTTTTCTGTCAACTGTTTTTTTCAGTTGGTTGGTTCGGTTGGTTGGAAACTGAGGGGTGCGGTACTGCGGTGCTAGTGTGTGAGAGTGTGTGTGTGTGTGTGTGGGGAAAAAGGGTGACGAAAACCGTGAAAGGAAGGAAGGGAAAGGGGAATAATCCGGGCTGGGATCGAGTGGGATTAAGGTGTGTCCAGGTAAAGGTAGGGCCTAGTTGCAGATTGATGGTGGTGATGACGTGGCAATGTTTATTTTGGATAATACAATTGGAGAAGTTTTTTAGTGATTGATATTTTTATAGACGGTAATAAACATTGTAAATTATGATCAACATTTTCATCCACATTTTTCCACTTAGATATATGTTTATTCCGACCTTATGTTCAAAACGAATCAAGTTGTTAGATTACAATTTCTACCTATATGGGAAAATCATTATATCAATTGAACTATTTAGTTAGCTGTACTAATGAATTTTTCTTACAACTGCGATCGTATAACATAAACTTTGTCAAAAAATTTTAAAATCTTGATAAACTTTAGAGTTTAGTATACATATAAGAAATTAAACTGATTAGAATCAACCATTTTGTCTAATTGTTCGAATTTGTTGTGGGTATGATTGGAGGGGAATGTAAATTTCAAGGCACAAACAATATGATTAACCATGATTGTGTTTACTTTGATTGCAGTTGGGGCCCTTATATCTTTGTAATAATTTTGGAGGCTCAACAAATTCTGAGTTTTGTAATAGAATTCTTAGTTATTCTTTACTGTGGATAAATAATACTGTTTATAAATAAATTGCACTTTTTAATCGTTTTACCTTTCAAGCTTTAGCTTTGGTTTAAAGTTATTTCATTTTTAGAAACTAACAAAAAAAATTAATATTCTCAAAATGACGTCCAAATAACAGCATTTCAACTAGGCGAGTTTTTTTTTTCTTTTCCCTCTTACATTTTTTAGGAAAAAAAGAAAGGCTAAAATCACGAGGAAATAAGATCAATCGAAGTGAAAAGTGGGGTGGAGTCAATTATGATGGTACATCACCATTTGGATGGCACGGCCAATTAGTTGGTGATACTAATATCAATCATTTTGAGCCTTTTTTTTTCTTTTAGCCCATAGGTTTTTGTCTAATAAAAAGTCCACCTATGCTAGTCATGTTTTGAAGGTTACTTCACATAGCTGATAATTGTAATTATAGTAAGCTGTCGTCTATTCAGTTTTAATAATCTCATAAGTTCAAATTCAATCAACAGTATATACATATATAAAATGAGTAAGAACTGAGTTATTAGTCAAAAACTTTATCAATAAGATAAAAGATTAGGAGAGCTGCACTAAATTGATGAGAACCAACATAAAATTATCAAACATAACAATTATCTATCATACAGAAGATTATGTATTGTGACAAAAAAAAAACAGATAATTGATAAATCGACCTCATGTAGTGTGGCAACGAATCTATTTTAAACCATGATAATCACAAGGTGGGAAGGAAAATTAATAATTTTCGAAGGAGGTGGTTTGTAAAATAGTGGTAAGAGTAAGAAAGTAATGAGAGGGGGGCAGAGTGTAAATAAAGAGAAGTTACTGAAAAGTTGGAATCAATCCATATGAAGATTGATGATGATGAAGTATGATTGCACAGATTAAAGAGTTGATGCTTTCCTTGAGGATTGTGCAACCTCCCATAGAAGAAAATAAAAAAAAAAAAGAAAAAAGAAAAAAAGACTGTATCCGTTTCTGCCAATTAGCCAGCCCGCCACCACCTCCCTAGATTCCCGATGCTTTGCTGCTGATCTCAACCAAATCATTCCCACAAGTCAAAGTCAAACGTCATTCCCCATAGTGTTGGTTTTGGCACATTTTTTATAAATTCTTTATTCCTTTCTGTAGTTTCCTCTTCTTCTTTTTTTCTTTTTTCCTTTTCTTTTTCATATAATGTTAAGGGCTGCTTGGTTCGATAGTGGAATGGGGTTATATATGAGGTTGATAGTAGTGTGATGATTACTGATTTCTATGGGGTTTTTTTTGAGCCCTTTTTGTTTTTTCTTTTACCGTGATTCGTATTTATACTTTCTTTACCGTAAAAATTGTCTTCTCTCTTTTTTTTTTCTTTGGTAAAAATTTTTCCAAACAAACCATAAGTACATTTTATTTTTCTTGCCGTGACCTATGATTCCTCTTTATATTTTCTTTACGGTAACAAATTGTCTTCTCTATTTTAGTTTTCCTTAACAAAATTTCCAAACAGATCATAAATACATCTCTCCAAACATAAAAAGTAATCGATTGCCCGTATAGTATATTTGAACTCTTTTATAAAAATTAAAAAAAAAAAGCTTTTTGACAGCACAGGACTTATGGACATAAAAAGAAAAAATCATACCACCTCCCTCCGTCCCAAAATTATTTTCATTTTGGAATTTTAGTTATAGTACAAATTGAACTAAAAATGAAATATCAAACTGAACAATAATTATAGAATGAAGGGAATATATTGGTAGAGCACATATTTATTTGAGCAACTTACATGCTTGGTATGGCGAAGTGGCCATATCAATTAGCGTATTAAATAATTAGGCGTTAACCTCCGTGTATTATATGAAGTAGATAGTCTTTAATCAATTTTATTTTATGATAAAGATAGAACAAATGGTATGGAATCTCCTTCGGTCTAAAAAAAATAATTCAGATTGAGTTTTAAGTTTTGTAAAACGACAATACAAAACATTACATGTTATGCATGTAAAAACATAGAAGAGATCGGCCACATTAGTCCAATCTTTTATCCACTATTTATACGTTGCTAAACGCTAATGTGAAATTGTGAAGTAATCCTATTAAGGATCAACAAATGCAACAACCTTGGACGAAGGTGGCGGGTCATGTCTCGGATTCGGACCAGGATTCGGGTAATCGGCCACTCCGTCGTCGCCAAGTTTTCTCGCCTCCTGCACCACATAATCAACATCATTCATACTTATTTGTTCGTGCAAAAAAAATAAAATAAAAATGAAATGGATTCATTCTTTTCCAAGACATAAAGAAAACGGATCCATTGCTGCTATTATTCCCATTCGAGTGTGAGAGAGAGATTTGACGAGTCATCATGAAAATTACCTGGAGATATGCTTCATCATTCAACGATGTAGAAGTCTCCGATCCATAACCACCTTAAATTCCACCCAAAAAAAATTAAAAAATGTAAGATAAATTTCAGAGGGGTCTAGCCTCTAATACCTTCTTTTTTTCTTTTTTTTTGAAATGATAAAATTCTAAGACTGTTAATTATCAAAAACTCCTAATATAAAGAATGGAGAAAAAGATGGGTGTGGAACCCTGTATTAATCAGTGGAACCATTTCTTTTTAAAGGAAAAAAAGATGAGTAGAAAATTGACCTGGAAATGTGCTGAGAAGAGCCAGCGTGAGGACCAGAAGAATCGAAATCTTGGTTGGAAGCAGCATGGTGTAAAACAGATAAAAAATTTAATCTTTCCAAGAATAATCCTACTCTAATTATATAGTACTCCCTTCATTCCATGAAAATAATTGAGGTTTATAATTTTTTTTAAAATCATATTGAATAAAGCCCCCCAAAAAGAACTAATTGAAATGTGTAAGTTCTTTAATGTTCATTATAATTAAGAACGGATTGAATTTATGAAAAAGATATCAAGAAGGATATGATGCATTTAAATATGTTAGCTGCTGCTTAGGTGGGCAGGTCCCTTTCAAAGAATGAAAATAAATGCATTTATTAACTTGAAATGGAGATGAATACCACTTGGAGACCAAAATTTCGAATATCTTTGACTTCGCTAATTACGCTGTTTGTCTAATTTCTTGAATTAATACAGTACTGCAATAGAATAATACTACATTGCAACATCCATTATTGAATGAATCTCAAAGGTGAAGATAGTAGTACATTTGGAACCATTTAACACCAAATATAGCATTGGGTACCTATAATCCCTTTTTTTAGAAGTAAAACAATATCCTCTTGTTACAGTTTCAACTCAAAAAAAACTTGGTTGCACAGCGGTCAATAAAATACCAAAAGATTTGAGAAGAGAGAATTTAATTAAGTTGATGGAAACCGTGAATAGTGTGAGCCTAAAGCGCTCAACTACACTATTTTGTTATTAACTGCAGGTGTACACTAATTGTTTTATTGTTACTAATAACCACTAAATAAATACTTATACTGCTCATCAATCATCGATAACCTTTGCTCTATTTTGGGCTCTTGGGCTTCTGAAAGTTGGACTTTGGGATGTTGGAGTTGGATGGACACCCGAACTTGGATCTCCGAAGTGAAGGATTATGGATGTCCACCAGGACCACTTCTCCCTTTGCCCGGGTCGTGGATTGGGTTTGCTCCCGGGTCATGATAATCAAGAACATTTACTCCACCGCTGCTCAATAGTTTTCTTGATGCTTGTTGCATCGCCTGTTTATTCCATTAATAAGATATAATAATAAGAATAATTACCATTGCATATATGTACAGTTGGATCTCAGGAAATTAGGGAAAATGTGAATAGTGTTCGGGATACATGCGCGAAGAATTTCTAGTTGTTTTAGTATGATGACGAGAGTGAAAAAGAAAAAAAAAATCACCATGGATTTAACTGAAAAACTCATTTATAAAAATAGAAAGGTTGCGTGAGAAATTGCAAGCACAACAAGATTAATATTCAAAACTCGATTGATCACGAAGGGAAAAAAAAAACATAGAACTCATTAAAAAGGGGAAAAAGAAATGAAGAAGATGATGATTTTTTACAAAAATGAAATAAAAAGAAAGGCGATATCAAGATTTAAAATTTCGTCTATGTACGTTTAAGTATGTAGGTGAGGTGATTCACAAGATATACATGCCAAACTAGACAAATTCCATGACAAACGTTACTACTTTAGAAAATATGAAAAAATCCCCCAAAAAAGTAATGTTCTTTTCCAATCATTTGGCAACTGTAAGAGTACTTAATTATACGTCTAAACAACCAGGAAAAAGAAAAGCAAAAACAAGTGAACAAGAAATACATTTAACCCCTAAATACTAGTATTAACTATCTATTGATCGTGATTGTGTGTACGCTAAAAATTATTCCTTCTATCTCAAAAAATAGTTCACAATGAATATTTAACTTTATACTAAAATTAGTATAAATTCTAAATCTCAATGTGGACTAGTGAATTTTTTTTTATTTTTTTTTTTTGGAGAAGAAGAGAGAGTAATTTGGATTGAAGAGAACAAGTTGAGGAAGAACTTCAAGAGCAGATATGGGGAGTAATGATATAACATAAGGGTCTTTACCTTGAAATGCGTGTTGATATCATTCCCTGCTGCTGCAGGTTCATAGCTCCCATAACTCCCTATTGAATTAATTTATTCAAAAACCAAAAAAAAAAAAAAACGGTTAGGATCACTGATCAGAACCTAAGAGATATGGATTAAATTACTAGAAACGAATTAGAACGAACACAGCACCAATTGCTTGAGTCCTGGAATCAGAAAGTCTCTTACCTGAAAATGAGCAGACAAGAACAAGTACGAGGAGGATGAGGAACGGAATCTTGGTCCGAAGCAGCATTTCGCGCCCAAAACTACAGAATATTCTCTTGAATCAATCAATGAAAGAAAAAAAAATATTTTATAATTGTGAATCGTCTTGATGGGTGTTTTTGGTCGTTAAAAAATGGAAAAAAGGATGGGATATTTATATGCGCGCAAATGCTGGTCAGCGCATTTTGGGAGGGTTTTTGGATGCAAGGATTTTAGTAGTGGACAGGAGAAGGAAGAGGAGGAGGAAAGTGCGGTTTCATTGTTAATGGTCGACGTTGTTTCGTGGGTTTCCTCCCTTTTTTTCTTCTTTTCTGGTTTTGTTGAAATTCAATCGATGGGTTCTTTGAATGTTTATCTCTCTCTCAAATTCTGAAAATCCATTTCACTAGCTGCTTAGCTTATCACGTTTCTAAGGTCAACTCTTTTTATTTTCTTTTTCCCCCAGTGTCATTTTCCAGCCAAAAAGGCTTGTCTTTCTATAAAAGGACACGTGATGTCGGCATTTCGAACCTACCCCAAAAATATGGAGTATACATTTTATTCTTTTCGGTAATGAAAATTACTGTTCGATTAATCTCGATTCGAGTCAAGAAGAATTCTCTTGAAGGAATTATGTTTAGCAAAAGATAATGTATATCCAGAATGAAATTAAGTTTTTAACCCAGTTAACCAAGTGTAGGGAGACAAAAAGGCATAAGCAGAACTTCGTAGTTGGATTACTTGTAGTTTGTACATATCCCCAAGGTCCTTTGTGCACGAACACCCCTATATACAGTATACAGTACTAGCTTTTATTAGTAATGCCATTGTATGACCTAATGGTTACTTAACTAGCTAGCTAACTACATGACCTTAAATTTTCACAAGTTAGTCGTGAAATACTGACCAATAAATTAATAGCTCTTGATTAATAATTTGTGGTTAATAGAATCTTATATGCAGATGGACGCACGTGTAATCTAAATGTTACTATTCCTTGAAAATGTCATTCTTTACTATTATTATAAAACTAATTAGAAAATTAGTAAAACCCGCCCGTAAGTTGGCAAAGACAATACTAGCATTGCGATCTTTATGATGTAAGTAACTAGCTAGTTTGGCTAATGTTATCAATTGGAAGTGAATTTTTTTTTTAAAAAAAGTAATATTACAATTTTTTTTTTTTGAGTATATAGTATTCGTTGTCTAAAAGACTAAAACTATTATTTTGACTTATTTTAATTTGATCAGTTGAATATGTAAGCTAAATTCTTCCGATAAAATAAATTCTAGATGCCCAAATATCCAAATTCCATGCACATATATATGAGAAAGAAGTGAGCTTTCATACTCGAAGAAACTCAAAGCCACCGGGGGAGTTTTGGGCAGTTCCTATATCCCATTCTTGACAAACAGTAAGCTAATTAAATGCTTAAATTACTTAAAATTCAAACAAAGGAAAAGATGTTGGCAATGTGGGCAGGCATGTACCCACTATTTCTTTTGGTGCGGCAGAATTACCCTGTCACTTCACCAAAGATCTCTACCTTCCACAAATCAGCCTTTTTGGCTTTTGCGCCTCTTTCCAATTCTCTTTAGTCTTCAAAAAAAATAAATAAAATAAAATAAAAAATAAAAAATCTGTTTTTTCATATCATGAAAATCACAATGACGTAATTTAATCATATTATTGCTACTTTTCTGTAATATCTCGAGAAGCAACTTTTTTTAAAGGGACATCACTAATTTTAACACAAGAGAGACTTGACTTCTTTTTTCCAAAAAGAAAATTAACAAGAGAACGGATAACATAACTAATTTTGACTACGCACATTTTTCTATCCAGTTAATAAGTTGTAGCACAGATAAAACTAAATCTATCACATTTCGTTAGTAAACAATACCAATTACGTACATATCATGTGTCAATCGTGATCTAAAACTCATATAAACAGTTGAAATCTAGTATTGATGAATCTATTCTTTTTATTGGCTCTTGCTATTGTCAAACCTCTAATTCTTTCTAGTCAGACATTTTCATCGCTCTTAAACAATCAATCAATCTACATATATATGATAACGTTTTAAGCATAATTTTGTCAAGAATTACGAAAAGAGCAATGACACAGATAGTGAGAAAAAATAGTGAAAATGCATAGTGACTGATGTGTCAGTAGTAATTAACGGTAAAAGAGTATTTTTGGGAGGAAAGAAAAAATTTCAACGGCAAAATGATAACAAAATAAGAGATTCACATCAGTCATTATATTATTTCACTACGAGTATCATTTTTCTTACGAAAAATAGATAGGAAGTTTCTCTGACCATAAAGTAATCGAACATCCTGTGGGCGTTGAATGTGAGTTGTGTGGTGTGTGCAAGATATACACTTCCATGCGGGAATAATAGAGAAGAGCAAGGAGGACCATTCTAATTGCTACTGAAAATTGGGTAGCAATCACATCACCTTCGCATTGCATGTCCCTGTTTGCAATTTCGCATCACCCTCACTTTGAAAACCATCATTGAGTCACTGTTTCTTTTATTTAGTATCCATTTTGCGGATTATATTTTGTGTATCATTTATGTTACGTTCATCGTAATTGACGAATATTTTTTTGGATAAATATTATTTTTATGTCTCAGAAAAAATAATTTACATTTTTGTATCATTTTAGTTTAATAAAAATAAAATTATTTTTTTTGGAAGAGAACAATTTACACCTTATTATGATAAGTGGACTTTAATGGGCAGTGATTGAACGCGTATCACACAATATCTTTTGCCGAACTTTTTTCTTGTTTTCCAGAAATAAGTTGTTTTGGCCTTTTAGGGGTATGTTATGGTGGGTTTTGAATATGTATACTGTAGCTACAGATGAGATCATTAGAGTTTCTAGTGGGGATCAGAATGGCAATCTTGACCAACTATTCAAAATCTACTTCATGGTGCATATATGTATTCTACTACTAGTTTTATCAACCCCCACATCCGTCAATTTTGGATTGTTGGGTCAAATTAAATTAAATTTTATCAGGCTGTTTTTACCCCTTTCACACAAATAAAAAGGGCATGTGTTAATTAAACCACAGACGCGATCCAATTGCCAAATTTTTTAGCGCGAAGTTAAAATGTAAGGCCATGCATGAGGTTTCTTTTGTTGGAAATTAAGTGTAAAGTTAACTAGATGTTAAATCGTCCGTTGAACGGGTAGATAAATTTAAATAGCAATAATAAGATAGAGAATATTTGTACTATTTTACAAATTTGTTCAAATATTAAGTAATAATTCTCTATTTTCATATAAATACAAGCATTACTAAGTATTTTCAAATATTAAGTAATAATTCTCTATTTTCATATAAATACAAGCATTACTAAGTATTGAATGTAGTACTATTTCATTCTTACATTAAAATAGAAGATAGGGTAACAATGATACGAAAAAAATATCTTATTTAGTATCATAATACTAAATTCAAACATTAAATAGAACATATAGAGGAGAACAATAACCAAAATGGCACGATGATGAATTACAAAATCTATAAAAATATTAATGATATGATCGTTACAATATGACTACAAATGAGAAGTTTTAATAGATGCATCAATAATGTATTAACATCCTCACTTTGGTATTAGTGGGGGAATTATTTGAAATCACCTTCCAGGATAAAACCTTAACCACCAAAAGCTCTCTTAACATCAATTATATAAATTGATCGGCGGATATCTTTTAAGGATTTGTTAAGAGATTAAAAATTATGTTTGTAAATTATAGTTGTTTCATTTTATATTATCAACCTAGTATATTTTAAGGAAGTGGCTAGGTCGCTGTACATCAGGTATTATTGTATAGATTAAATTAAAAATCTTTAATATGTAATTCTATCTAGCGACAAAATTAAGCAAATACACAATACCGCTCAATGCCTCGTAAGTACAATCTTACCTTTATAATAAAAAATAACTAATAATGTCATGCACATAAATATTTCTCTCATACTTCCAAATCCATAAAGGTTTTTAGAACAATTTCCCATTCATTTCCGACAATCAAAGACATTATATGTTACAAATATCATTTAGTTGTTTTACTTATTTATTCATTTATTTTAGTTTTATTTACTTTAAGCGTTCATTTTGCTCTAACTTTACCTGTTTTTAGAAATTTTCTAGTTTAAATATAATAATAAAAGTGTTTATTTTTCCATCAAGTATCATTCAATTTTTTTTGTCCATCCAAACTTATAGTTATATAACGATCAATGTGAATTAATAAAGAAAATATGCATTCTCAACTAATAATGTTTAGTTTTGTTTACTCAGTCTATTCATCTAAGATAATTTTTTTTGCATTTTCTACTAAAACATTTGTTTTGCCTCAACTATATCTTTTTGAAAGATTTTTAATTTGAATTGTAATTGTAAGACCATTTTTTTTCCACCGTAATAATATCATTAAACTATTTTTTTCTTTACTTAATCTTCCTTTGGTTATTTTTAATGATATTCCAAGATTACTTTATAGTAAGATAATTATTTTACTCTCAATGATATCATTCACCTTTTTTTTCTTCTTTTAATTTGCCTTAGATTATTATTGATTCTCAATTTCTTTTATAATAAAAGTACAATTTTCAATGTATTATTATTATTATTATTATTATTATTATTATTATTATTATTTTACGTTACTTTTTGACATTCTTCATTTAATCATTTATCTTGCCCTAACTCTACCTATTTTATGAGCATTTTGCTAGTACTACAAGGATCTAACGTAATAACCTTTTTTCTTTGCTCACCTTGTCAAATTGTTGTGCCTGGTTCTCACGCGCCAAGTAGCTATTGAAGATACTTTTAGCTATAGTTATTGATTCCCGTTTAACACTCAAACCTTAATCTCAAGATGACATGATTTGTTCTCCTCAGTTTTATGATCTGTTTAAGTTATAAACATTTAATGGTGAGAATATTTTTTTTCCTTAAGAATATCATTCATTTTTTTTTTCTCGATTTAATCTTCTTACTTTATTTTTTCT